TCCTTCTCTCCCTCCCTCCTTCCCTCCCCCCTTCCCTTCCTCCCTCCCTCCTGCCCTCCTTCTTGCCCTCCCTCCCTTCCTCCCTCCTTCCTTCTTTCCTCGGGCCGCATCTGCTCCCGGGCGGGGCCCCTTCCCTCCCTGGTCTCTCCCTGCAGGACCCGGCTGGGCTCCCACGGGCTCAGCAGGGACCTCCTGCCCGGCTGGGGGATCAGAGGCTGGGCGAGGAAGTCTCGGCCGTGAGGCCTCAGGGTCCACCGGGCTCGCGAGGGGTCCGCCCGGGCCTGCCTCGAGGGGTCAGCTCTGCGGCGGCAGGAGCCGAGCGAGGCACGTGCGTTCCGAGGGGGCGACGCAGCCTCGCGCTTGCGGGAGCTCAGGGCGCCCCCGGGCCGAGCCGGGCCGCTGCTCTCGAGGCCTCCGGCCGCGCCCCGCCGCCCAGCACAGGCCCTGCCCTTCCCGTTGCAGTGCCCTGGTTCCCAAGGACCATCCAGGAGCTGGACAGATTCGCCAACCAGATCCTCAGCTACGGCGCAGAGCTGGACGCGGACCACCCGGTGAGTGGCGCCTGGGGCGGGGTGCGGGTGGGAGATTCCGCCCCCTTCCCTCGCCCCCACCTCGGGCCTGCAGCCGGTTCCTTCCCGCTCAGGTAATTCCGCTCCTGCAGGAGCAAAGGCTGCGGACTTCGTGCTCGGGGTTGTCACGTGGGACCAAATACGAGTCCCTGGTCTGGAAACCGCGTCTTCCGTGTCTCGCATGCGGCACACACACGCGCATGCGTGCTCGCGCGGGCCTCGCCGTCAGGGTTGGCACGAGGCGCCTGGGAAGGGGCAGGCTGTGCCATAGCTGGGGGCGCAGAGCAGCTGTGCTGATGCTTGCGGGGCGGCTACTATTCCACAGGCCTCCTGCACCAGCGAGGACCGCATGTGTCCCGTGGCAGGGAGCGCATCTCCCACAGGCTCAGAGCAGAGGGCGGGTGGGGCTTCTCGGTCCCTGCGAGGCGGAGGTGCTGAGCGGCACTGCCTCCACCAGGCGTCCGTCGGGTCCCGGTCTTGTGTGGCCCGTGCGGTGGCAAGGGGCGTGCTCCTACCTGTGGAGGTGTCCGGGCACAGACAGGCATGTGGAGGCCCAGGGAGGACAGACGGACCTCTGCCCCGGGATCCCTGCTGAGCTCTGGCCTTAGGACCCCTTCCCTCTCCCTCATCCCGGGAACCCGACTCGGGGCCTCCACCCGCAGCTGTCTTGGACTGGAGCACCTGAGGACAGAAGCAGAGGGGGAGCCAGGGTGAAGAGCTGATGCTTTTCCTGATTCAACTAGGAAATCGCCTCTGGTGGCCCCGGAAGTACAGAAAATCATGCAGCAGGAAGGGAGGGTCCTGTAACTTCACTGATTTCTGTTTTCCTCTTTGTCCCAGTCTGTAGTTTGTTTTAATAATGAGAAGGTATTTTGCTAACAGAAATGAGGTGAATTTCCTCCTGTCCTCCAGACTTGAAAACAGAAAAAAAGCAGCCACTGTCACACTCTTCTAAAATAATTATGTGTGTGGACCCTCCCCACACCCCCCCCCATACAGGGAAGGAACCCAGGGCCTGCACACTGAACTGCACCCCCAACCCTTTTAAATTTTTTTATTTGGAGGCAGACTATCTCTCAGTCACTAAGTTGCCCATGCTGGGCTCAAATTGGGAACCCTCCTGCCTCAGCCTCCCAGTGTGCCATCCCCAACCAAGCAGCCCCCAACAGTGAGCACAGAGGTGGCTTCTGGTCCCCACTCTTAGGATAATCTTGGGATGCAGGTTCCTGCCTGTGGCTTTTCTCAGGGGTTTCCTTGAATCTTAGCTAGAGAGTTAAGTTAAACCACATCACCCTAAACTAAGGACTGATGCTGTATTTGAAACTCCTAGTACATATTGCCTAGCTCCTCTGTCTGCCCCATTCTAAAAATGGGGGACTTTGATTCCCCATCCATCTATCTGCCATGCCAACTTCTGGGCACTCTGGGAGAGATTCCGGTATCCCTGTAGCCAGCTCTGTCTGCGCCCCTCGGTCTCCTTCCCTGGGACAGCTGTCTGCCTGAGCTGCCAGCCCGTGGGCCCGGTCCTCAGGACTTTCCTTCCCTCGCTCCCCCTCTTCCTAACCTGAGCCCCTCCTGCCTGCTGCTGGCCGGGCTCCCTGCTCTTCGGGGCAGGGACATTCGCTTCCCGGCAGAGGTGCACAGGCCGGGCCTCAGAACCCCTGGAATTCATTTCTCTTTCCCAACCAGGCCACATCTTTGGCTCCCTGGCCTGTCTGTGCTGTGAACTTTATCGTAAAAACCCAACTTATCAGGTACACAATCGCCCGAGAGCAGTGCCAGGCTCTCCGTGTTCCGCGCTCCTCAGCCGGTCCCGACGGGGCCAAGCAGAGCGGAGGCGTCCAGCAGTGGCCTCCCCGCCGTCCCGGGCCCCACAGGCCTGGCCTTGGGGTATGACTGGCTGGGACGGGACGGGACGGGACGGGACGCAGCGGCTGTTCCTCCCAGCGGGACCCTGTGTTCTGCCTTGTCACCTCTGACAGCACGTTCCCTTCCTCCCTGACCCCTGTCCTTGGCAGGCTGCGTGGTGCTTGGTCCGAATCTCACATCGGGGCCTCCAGAGCAGCTGCTTGGAGAAATGAGGGGAAGGAAGGGTTGATTCCAAATCGGGGCAGGTGGAGGGCGTCGCCGCAGGGCTTTCGCTCAGTGGAGACTGTGATTCTCCTTCCTCGCTGCGGCCGCAGTCTCTCCTGGCCTTCCTCCTTCCTCTGTCCGCACCTTACACAGATGGTGCTGACAACCATGGTCGCCAAGCGTGGGCAGTATGCCAGGCACTGTGCAAGAGGCTCTGAGTGGGCTTTTTCATTTAAGTGTTATCACCCTCTTGGAGGGTGAGGAAGCCCAGCCGGAGAGGGCTGTGCGGCCTCTCGTGTGCAGAACTGCTCCCAGCCACCTCAACAGACAGAACTGCGACCTGGGGCTTTGCAGGCTGAATCCAAGCGGTTGTGTTTCGATTTCCATTTCCCGAACTGACCATCCGTGCCCTTTCCCAGAGGTGCTGTTCCTCTGCACCTGCTCTTCCCCTGGTGCCAAGGAAGGCCCAGTTCTGGGGTCCCGCTGGTCTGTGGCCTCCCTGCGTCTGCCTCAGGCTGTGCGCCTGCCTCGGGGAGATCACGATCTTGGGGCTTCCAACTCTCAGCGCAGAGCACTGGGTGTAAATAAACTCACTTCCTGTCACCTCCCGAGAGGCACAGATGCACACGCAAGTGAAAGGGTGGGAAATATCCCAGCATCAGGGAGGAATCCCCACTCTGTAGCCCCATGTTGAGCGCATACAAGTCCTGTATCTCCTCAGAGGCTTTGGTAAATCCTGCAAAATTAAAACCCACTCCTCTTGAGGCCCCCTCCTTCTTGCTCACCCATAGAAGCCCCTTCTCGTGGGACACTTAGCCATATTGTCTCAAGTGCCAGTATTCCCAGAGCACAACACAGGTAATCATTTGAATAGAAAGCCCGAAATATGCGCACGTCACACCAGGTATAAGGAGCCAGCCTGTGCCACGGTCACTGTGGCCTGGGTTGCTCAGGGAGGACTTCTGGAAGAGGGTGATCTGAGCCGAGCCCTCTTGCAGTCACAGCAGGCTAATCGCTTGCCCAGCAGCCACCCACCTGCACAGCCTAACTCCATGGAGATGACCCAGCAGCATGGCTCGCTAGGGACCCCACTCCACAGAGCACTTCCGGGTGTCTCCTCTCCAGGGGGGGAATTGCCGCACACATCCTGTCACTCAGATTCCAAGTGGAGCTCAGCCCCAGGGTCACTGGGGAGCGGGGAAGAGTCCAGAATCCACAGGTGGAGTTGAAGAGGCCCAAGGGTGCGTCCGAAGCTCTGTGCATGTTGAGTGCATCCTTCTCATGGGCTGAGCCAGGCTCCATGCTTGGCCTCCCCACCCTTTTGCACACAGGCATCATTCTCTGGATGTCCACTGTGTGCTCAGAATCGCACCTGGTGCCCTGTCTGTGTTACCCGACTCAATCCACACGACCCAAGAAGGAGGGCTGATTAAGGAGCTAATTGACGGACAAGGAAGCTCACGCTGTATGCAGTAAACTGGCCCCACGATGCCGCCCCCGGTGAACGCAGTTCCACCGCAGCCCTGTCTGACTTTCAAACGTGCTTCCCTCTCTGGGGTCCCCAAGGGTGGTGCTTCTGAGGCTTCTCAGCTCCAACACCAAGAAATGAAGAACTGAGTGTCTCAGTCTAGAAGAATCCTCAAAGGACCTCTGTATAGACCTTATATTGCTATAATCAAACGCTGCAGCCCTCCCCTTCCACAGGGCAAAGCATCACACGCTCAAAAATAAGACTGAGGTGAAGGAACGAGGCTGCAGGTGGGCTCAGGAGGGCTTGTCATTTTGCATCTTGCAAAATCCTCCCCGCTCTCCCTTCTGCCCTCTTCCCTGGCCCCTTCTGTCTCCACCCCGTCACCAACAATATTTTTCCCTGTCAAAACACCCTGGGTTACACGCAGTGCAGCCAAAATTACTGCTATTAGCTTAATTGAGACAGGGTGATTATAAATAAATTACACGCAGTGCTACCGAAATTGTTGCCATTAGTCTAAAGCAAGACAGGGTGGGTGATCAGTCATTCTCAACTGTAGCCTCATCCAGAAAGCGTTTCTTAAGGATGGCCACAGAGACTGTGTGGTCAATTGCAACCCAAAAGGTGCATGGGCTTCAAGGCCAGAGCGCTTCCCACCCACTGGGGGTCTACAGAGCAAAAGTCCCCGTGGTTTTTTGGGGGGGACCCTGCAGCTGATGGTGAACCCCAGAAACACTAAACTGGAAAAGACCAAGGTTAGGAATTCTCTACATGGAGCTACACACAGCGTGTTACATGTGCACGTTGTACTTCCCTTTGGGCTCATCCCTGAAATGATTTGAGATGGATTTTAATATTATTTTGCTTTGCTCCCAATTATTAAAGAAATCCATATTTGCAGTAGAAAACCTCAGAAGCATAAATAGTGTAGAGGGATAAAGCAATCGTCGCCCCTCTTCTTTTCACTACCCGCAGGTAACGTTTCTCAGAGTTTGGCGTACTCCTTCCATCCTTTCCTTTGTATGTGTGTGTACTTCCTCAGCGCTAGTCGATGCAGGGCATACAGTTTTTATTGACGTTCCTTTTCACAGGTGGAAAACCTTAAACCACCTAGACAAGGCCCATAAAAGATAAGCAATAGAGTCAATGGGGAAGACAAGGGCCCGGGGCATCCCAGTTCTGGAAGCGGTGTGAAGCTGGAATCCACCAAGTAAAGGAATCCTCCGTGTCCCCAGTTTCCTGCTTCCTCTCACATCTCAGCTTGCCAGCCTGGGTAGGACTCAAACTCCTCAAGGTGCTAGTACTGTTGAGAAGGACCCTTCCATGATAAATCAGCAGCCTTCACCATCCGCATTTCCAGACCCAGATATAGAAACAGACTTTCTCCCAGGTGCCTTGAGGGTGCTGACCAGTCAGACTGGCAAGTACGTCACTTCCCTCTTCACTGATGCGCAGTACCCACACCTACAGTTTAAAGGAGAGGTTTACTTTGGCTTAACTGCAGAAGTGCGAGTCCTTGCCTGGTCACCCTGCTCCAGGCAGCAGCACAGTGGGAGGGCCTGGGTGGAAGAGAGCTGCTCCTGATAGGGTGGTCAAGAAGTAGAGAGAGAAGAGCTGAGCCAGTCGGGATTATACATCCTCCTAGGACACGACCCCCCCATGACCTGCCACCAATCAGGCTCCACCACCCAACTGCTCATTGGCTCTGGGCTCATCCATGGGTTAATCAGCACCCCCTATGATCCAATGGCCTTTTAAAAACCCTGCGGATGAGTGCACATGGCCTACGGGAGAGACATTTTCCACCCAAACCCTAATGATAACAGATATTAGACTCATAGTTAAATGTATAGTTTTGGGTGCTGAGTAGGGAACTGTGGACAAATAAGTTTTCTTTCTTTAGACCAGCAGACTGGTTCCTCAAAAGGTGTGTTAGTACTGCTGGAAGCCAAATTACGAGGCCCAGCTTTCTCATCACCTCAGGGCAAGCCAGTGTGCTTTTACCAGTAGACACACAGCTGCACTGAGGTTTCAAGGTCTCAGCTTCTTATGAGTCCCTACCTCTGATTAATGGCTCACAACCAGCCAGAGCTCCAGGAAGGCAGCCATGTTGTGCTACGTAACAACCATGTCACAGAAGATTTTCTAAACCAAATAATCACTTACTGTACTATAACTGGGATTTGGTTTTGGAACAAAAAAAAATGCACGGTAATTTTGTTTAATTTTCTAGTATGAAACATTTGGAGTTTTCTATTTCTCCAAATTCATCCTAAGAAACAAAGTAGGACACTTCTCCTCTCCTTCCTTCTCTTTCATCTGACAAGTGCACGGAGTTCCTTCTGCTGGTCAGATGCTCCTCCGCAGAGCTGAAATGGCACTGTGTAAATACTTTGACCTCTCCTTCTTGGGAATTACTGGTTACCCCTGAGATAACAAACAGATCAGCCAGCCAACCAACCAATCAAGCAAACCAAATAAAAGCAATGTTTCAAAACCAGGGAGTACCTATCTTTTTAAAAGACTCCTTTAAACAGTGTGCCCCATGATGCAAGCCTAACTTATGATTCATCAATGTCAGTGGTGGGAATTATTGGGGACAGAGAATTGCAAACTTCAGGTACTTGCAGTGCTGGGAAGGGGCAGTCTAGTTCTGTAGTGGTGGGTTGGTCTCTCATGTCAGGAGAACTTAGAGGATAGTGAATATTTTTGGAAAATGACTTTTAATCAACTGTGATCACTCCTGACTTGGTATATGCCCGCCCTGCCCCAAACACTTAATGGTACACCTAGCCCCTTTTCCCTTGCAAGTGTGCTGCTTGGGGATCGTGGGGAAGCCACTGTCATCCTTTTCGTGTTTGGCGATGGAGCACTCTGGTAGTCCCACCCCTGCCAGGTGGCAAAGGTTGGCAGTTGCTGAATAGGACTGGGAAGACCAGAGAACTGGGTGCTCCCCATCCCTGCCTGTCCTGTGCTCCTACTCCAGTTCAGGAGGAGCTCCCCCTCTCTGACAGTACATGAGAACTGTAGACCAAAGTAAAGATGATAATGATATATTTTTATAAATTAATTAGAAATAAAATAATTTCCTAGCACCTATGGGCTGGCATATAGTAGATGCTCAATAATGATAGTTTGAAAAAATTGCCATAGCTGTAAGCGTGTACACATGTGTCTGTTGGGAAGTTAGGAGGCAGCTGCTGGCAGAAAATTAAGTGGATCTTGTGTACCTTCACTGTAGATGTCCATCTTCCTAGTTCTGCCTGAGTGAGCCAGTGTGGAGTTAGAAAAGCTGCGTCTGTGATCTCTCAGGCCAGGGCCCAACGGGGACACTTGGCATCCGAGTGCAAGGCGTTGGTCAAGATGGGTCATTCACAGTGTGAGGCAGGAGTGCTCATCTCACGTTTAACTGAGGCTTCTATTTTTATTTTAAAATATGCTGCTGTACCTCCTCAGTCTGTATTTCCAAGCTCACCCTGCATGGAACAGAGCTTTTATTCTTGTTTTAACTGAGACTTCCTCCCTAATCAGGAGGAGACACCGAGTCATAACCCAAAACCCTCCATGCAAGGCACTGGCAGAGGAGCCAGGCCACTCCCTCCAAAGCCTTGGGACCAACGAGCATCTACTCTCTCCTAGGGCTTCAAGGACCCTGTGTACCGAGCAAGACGGAAGCACTTTGCTGACATCGCCTACAACTACCGCCAGTGAGTCTCGCCGAGTGGGGAAAAGAGCCGAGGGAGAGCCCGAGAGTGCATGGCCCTTGCTCCAGGGTGGAGGGCGCCAGAGTGGCTCCTCCTGCCTTTTCTCTGGGAGGGAGGGCAGAGGAAGAGGGAGGGAGAGACACAGGAGAGAGGGAGAAACAAGTTCAAGCCATCCTTTTAATAACACGTGTTTTTTAAAAATGCTGCTAAACAGAACAAACTTACCCGCTATGCTGAGGCCTAGCTTTCTCCCAAGCTTTGTTGTCTAATTGTACAACATCTGAGGTAATTATAAAAGACTCAGTCTGAACTGAAACCACCTCTGCTGTTCTCCGCATTAAACCAGGAAGAAAGAAGAAAATCGTTTACATTCAAAAAGGAGTGGGCTGCTTTCCTGAAATAATGAGCTTGGGGGTTTCAGGCCGCCGCCGTCTGGGCTGACGTGGCCAGGAAGGGAAACTTGAGAAATGCTCTTGCTCTTGCTCTTGCTCTTTGGGAGCCTCTGCTCCTCCTCTACTTCATTTTAGCCAAAAGAAATGGAAATGTCAAATATGTTGTTTGGGAAGAGAATGGCTGGGCTGTGTTGAGTTCTCAGGAACTGTGTGCATCCCACCTCAGGAAACGCAGTTGTTGGGGACACTGCTGTCGCCCAGGCAAAGGAATAAGAAGAGACGTGCACAGGAAGGGACTCAAAGGTGACCTCTCTCTGTCCTCCCCTCTGCCCCATCAAGAGCTCATCTTCAGCAAGTCAGGGATAACAGGTCATATTTATCACCTCCATGCTGTGTGTCTGGGCTTTGCTAAATGCTCTGCACTTATTATTTAGTTTAGGCTTAATAATAATTCATCACTTTTTGAATGAGGGAACTAGAGGCTATGAAGGTTAAGGAGCTTTCCAAGGTCATATAACAACCAGGTGACATCATTAGGTACCAACTTTGTCTCCAGAGTTACCGTGGACCACTTCTGTGGCTGTTGGGTGACTGTAGACACAGGCAGAACCAGGACTCTGTCTCTCATCCTCTCTCTGGCTCAGTGTCCTCTGTACAGGCCTTTCCAGGCAGTGGTCTCATCTGTCTTAGGGATGGACCCCAGCACCTTTAGGCTGACACCCCAACTCAACTAGAAGTTCTGTGTCTTTCCAACAAGGTCAACCAGAGCTCTGTAGCTGAGTCTCACTGGCTTGCCTAGGACATGAGCCCACCTGTCAGCCTAGCCCTGTGGCCAGGGGAATGAGATAGTCTGATTGGCCAGGTCTGATCACATGACCACTTCTGAAGGTGAGAATGGAGCTTCCTGGTGTCTGTACCTCACAATCTGAGAGGAGAGGAGGACCTTGTACCGGAAGAATGAGGAAGAGTTGTTGGGTCCCTGGAACAACAAATGTCAACTAGGGGGACATCCTGGTGCCCAGGATGCTACCATTTCTTGAAATTGGCTGCAGAACTAACAGATATCTTTCTTTTTAAATGATAATCAGAATGATAGTGATCAGTTATTCAGTGGTTACTATTTGTCAGTAGTGGCCGTGTTAGGTACTTTACATAGTATTTCCCTTGGTCTCGTCCACAAATGGTTCCTTATGATTAGCCCATGTCACAGTGCATAGACTGAGCCTCAGAGAGGTTTACCAAATTGTCTAAGGCCACAGGGCTGGGAAGTGGAGGGTCGAAGTGTTGAAGCAGCCTCTGTCTATTTCCAAAGCCTCTGTCCCTCTGTCACCACTTAGTCCTGAAGTACTGCTGCATGAGCAGGCAGGAGCTCACCTAACACTCTCTCACAGTCTCTACTGGCCACCAAAAGATGCTGTGGAAGATCCTGCTTTCCATTCCTAAACAAAAATTCACCCTTTCCCCCAAATCCCTGCCTGCCTCTCTGTGGAAAGTAACAGTGACTTTGCTTTCATGGCCTCAGCTGAGCCCTTACTTTGAAAGGACAGGAGGGCCCCTGTGGGAGCAGGCTCCATCCTTCTGAGACAAACAGTCTCACTCTGTTCCAGACGCTGTGTCCTCGGCGTCGGCACGAGGCCTGCAGCTCCGGGAGGTCACTGTCCCTGGAGGCCAGGCTGTGTTTGGTTTTTATGTGTTCTTCTTGTTCAGAACTCAGCACGGGACCTTTCAAAAGAATGACTTACAGCATAATTGCTACGTTCCACCTGGAGGTCACCTGCGGGAGGTCACCTGGAGGTCACCCTGAAGGGAGATGGATGGGTACCCCATCCCGGGTAGACACTTGGGGAGTTAGAACAGCAGAAAAGCCAAGGGGTTTCCCAAAGGGAGAGTAAACCCTCAGTGCACCCGGTGAGCTGAGAGCTTGTACCATTATTTAATCAAATTACTCTTGCACAAGGGGAACAAAGGCAACATTTCCTGTATCTGGAAGTGGAATTTTTCTCTTCTAAATAATCTACAAATGCCCATTTGTGCTGTGTTCCAGCGGGCAGCCCATCCCCCGGGTGGAGTACACAGAGGAAGAGAAGAAAACCTGGGGCACGGTGTTTAGAACCCTGAAGTCCTTGTACAAAACCCACGCGTGCCACGAGCACAACCACATCTTCCCGCTTCTGGAGAAGTACTGCGGCTTCCGCGAAGACAACATCCCCCAGCTGGAAGACGTTTCCCAGTTCCTGCAGAGTGAGTCTGGGGGGCAGGCCCTGCAAGCGGGCACGCGGGAGCGCGTGTGAGTCTGGTGTCTGCGGACTTGCACATGGTCTCAGGCTCCGGGAGGAACCAAACCCGCTGTGCTGACTGTCCTGCTTGTTCCCACTGTTCCTCTACACCCGAGCCAGGCCTCGGCCATGGAGTGGCCACTCGGGTGCCCCACTGGGGTCCGAGCAGGGTGCAGCAGGGCTTGGGTGAGAAATTGGCGTGGAGTAGGGTGACCCTGAGCTCTGGGCTGAGTCGGTCTGGCAGGGATCCTGCCTTTAACCTTCTCCCCTGCTGGGGAACCTGGCTGACCTCTGTCACCCACCGTGTGCCACACAAAGACAGTGGCCTATGGCTTCTCACGGAACACGGTGGGAAGAATGGAGATGCTGCATCTGAAAGCATCCAGCTCTGCGCCATCACCGGGGCCACGTGGCCATCAGAGCGCACGGCAGGATGAGACACGTGGTCTGGGTGATGGACCCTGCACAGCACTTCCAGGGGTCAGGGATGACCAAAAATATGGTGAATGTTTAGTTTTTGTTTTTTTTTTAAGTTACAGTAAAAGATACATTTCCATTAAACCTCTGAAAATATTCCACCCTCACTTTAAACACATTTATCCCATCGTTCCTGGCAATGTGTTCTTTGCACTTATGGTTTTTTTTTTTAATCTCCCATCATAGGTGTTTTACTGTCAAGAAGGTATTAGCTCAGCAAAAAACGATCAACTGACACATGCTGGGTACATCCTGAGTAGCAGGGAGAGGGCCAGTGCTTTATAGAAATGAAGGTTTCTACACATCGCATCTGTGCAGAGCTGCACAGCTCCGCCCAGACCCCGGGGGAGCTAGGAGAGGTGGGAGATTGGAACTGGGGTGGATGAAGAGGCCCCACATCATCTAGAACGGTGGGACCAGTGTGCTCGAAGCCAGGGGGAGTATTTTGAGGGGGTATTTCAATGTGTTCTGTTTTAAATTTTCACTGTAAACGTTCACCCTATTTTTTGATCACTTCTTTCAGGGACTAAAGAGGTCATAATGTCAGATTTAGAAAAAGTTTGGTGGGAGAGCTGTGTGGTTGAAATGGACTTCCCGGGGCTGGGGATTTAGCTCAGCGGCAAAAGCGCCTGCCTGGCAAGCGCAAGGTTGTGAGTTCGGTTCCCGGTACCGGAGAAAAGCAAAAACAAAAAACAAACAAACAAACGAAATGTACTTCCCCCCCGTTTCACCCCTTGCCTAGGGAGTCTGAGTGGCAGCTCGCAGGGCAGAGCCCACCGCACAGCGCAGGACAGAGCAGAACCGCCCCTCCGTATGGGAGAGGGAACGGGAGAGATTGGTGATTTACACTGAGAGCCTCTGCTTCCCCTGCCCAGGGTGGAGGGACTGAGTCCCAGGAGGGAAGCCAGAGCCCATCCTTCTGCATACCCTGGGAAGCCCGATCCCCTCCCCATTCTGCAAACAGGAAGAGGCGCTCAGCCCTAAGGAACAGCGAGAAAAGCTCAGTGCTTCCGCCCTGGCTACTTCTGGGTGCTGGGCTCGGGCCACGCCTCTGGTGCTCATCACTCTGTTGATCTTGTTCTATCCCTAAGCAAGATGAGAAAACCGAGGCTCAGAAATGGGACCTGACCCAAATCCGCCACCCGGAAACTAGAGCTGCAGAGACCTGAGCCATATCTGCTTGGTGTCAAAGCCCGCGTTCCTGCACAGTCGCCGCTGTGCTCCCTGCGTGGTGGGCCTGAGGCGCCCTGGGTCTGCCGAAACGGGCTCTGAGCGGGGCTCTTCTTTGCTTCCCAGCTTGTACCGGCTTCCGCCTCCGGCCCGTGGCTGGCCTGCTGTCATCTCGAGACTTCTTGGGCGGCCTGGCGTTCAGAGTCTTCCACTGCACACAGTACATCAGGCATGGGTCCAAGCCCATGTACACACCTGAGCCGTGAGTACGGTCCTCCATCCGGCTGCCGCAGGGGCTGCTGTCCCCTCTTGCTCTGGGAACGAGGTTTGGGTTCATGGCAGGTTCGTCCACAAGACTCTGCTGGATTATTGGATGGGAGTAGTGGGAGAGGAGCTCACCTACTCCTGGGAATTTCTCCGTCCAAACAGGCCAGATTTGGTTGGACACACAGATCTGAGCATGCTGCGAACCAAAGCTTCAGACCTCTCCAGGCACTGGGAACAAGAAGTCCTATTCAAGTTTCAAAGTTAGAGCTTTCAAGTTCCAGATGGGAACAGGAGCAAGCACAGTCATTATCTCAACCTCTCCTAAGTGCACTTGGAGGGCCTTCCAGAGGTGCTTTGCTCAGATTGTGTCTTAGCTAGAGCTAGACAGTGGCTGGCCGCTGTGCTTGCTATTTTGGGGTTTAACCATTTCTTTAGTCTGGTAGAAATTTAGTGAAAAGCACTAGGGTGCCCCAAATCATTTTTCTCTCCCCGTATTCACTGCTGCTGATCACTGCTGCCTGCTCCTAATAGCTTCGACACTTAGCGTGTTAAATAGGGTGGTTCTTCCTTTCCTGGATGCCAATCCTCTGTCCAGACTAAGAGAAGAGCAACCCTGTCTGTTAGACCCCGCTGGAGTAGCTGAGCGTATTTTATGTCCCCAGGTAAGTCTCAGTGAAGGAGAAGGCTGGGGATGGAAAGCGTCTGTGTCCCTCAGCTCAGTTAGGAGCTTGACCGGACACTCATAACAACAGTGGCTCTTCTGCCCTGTGCCCCGGCCGCTGCAGCTCTGTGCGTTCTGTCTTTCAGGGACATCTGCCATGAGCTGTTGGGCCATGTGCCTTTGTTTTCAGATCGCAGCTTTGCCCAATTTTCTCAGGTAAGGAATGGCTTTTTTTTTTTTTTTTTTTTAGCTTCCTGGGTATAGGGCTGGATTGCTCAAGGGAGCTGAACCCACGGAGGGGCCCTCACACCCCCTGCAAAAGTGGGAACCAGGTGCAGCTCTGTGATTCTCTCTGAGAAAAATGTGTGTTTCTGTGGAGATACCTGAATACCTACTTCAGGGACCACGGCTTGTGGTTGGTGAACTGCTCTTCCTGGGGATGAGGTGTGTGTGGCCCAGTCTGCTAATCTCACTCATTCTGCTGCAAGAGCCTCTCCATGCAGGAGATCCCTACGCGGAAGTCACTTTACCTCACTGTGCGTCGGAGCACTTCCCTTCCCTACCCTCCTCAGGGACTTTACCACTTTCTTCTTTGTCAGACAGTCATTTGTATATGTACAAGGGTGGATCGAAGAATACATGAGTGCCTTTACCAGGGGTGATCAAAAATATGGTGAATACTGCCGTTGAGTGCCGTCCAATGAAAAGGCAAAGCTCCAGTTTTAAATACATCATGGTGTGTCCTCATCCACCTTACTCACCACATCTGGCAGTGTGTGACCTGTCATTCCTTCCCAAAGTCAAAGTTACCATGAAAAGTAAACGTTTCAGATCATTTCTGGACATCAAGGCAACTGCAACAACACAACTAAATACACTCAGGAAAGAAACTTTCAGAACTGCTTCAGAAAGTAACAAGAAGGCTGTGATAAGTGCGTTCCAAACAAGGGCTAATATTTCAAGGAGGATTCATGACAATGTGCCTCTTACTGTAATAAATTTTTAAAATTGTAAAAAAATTCATAGTAGTCTTGATCACAACTGTATTTGAAGCAAACAGGAGGATGTTTGCTGAGAATCCAAAGCCAGTGATCTCACTTAGAGTTGACAAAATAAAGAAGTAGGTAGATAAGGGGAGAGCCAAATTTCTCATCCCCACCATCCAAGGAGCAGACTGGACCTTGACTCACCAGTCTCAGCAGTGAGCAAACTGAAAAACAGCACTTTGGGAGGAGGAAAAACATCCCGCCACTTCTCTTTCGGTATGAGAAGCAGCCTCAAGCCATGTTGGGTGGCTGGGGTCACAGGAAAGCTGAAGGATGGCCGGGACACACACACAGGACTTGGAGCAAGTTTTCCGGCTACCCTGTGACTCAGTTTCCACACAAGCAGAACAGTTAATGACTTCCTTGCTGGTCCTGCTACTCACATGGAAGAACAGGAGTGGGGCAGAATGATTATAAGTAAACTCGGGACCCAGTGTGAGCTCCAGAGCAATGATGTTGTGTGTCGTACATGAGCCCTATGAGCGTTTCCCATTGGCTGAAAGAAGTAAAGATTTCTGGGTTGCACGAAGAGGTTACTGCTTCATATTTGACACAAACACACCAAACAGAGGGCTGAACTCATCACATGGGAGTGAGGGGAAGCTGTATTTGGAAGACAAATTCTCTAAACAGAACTGTTATTTCTGTGTGCAATTTGGGGAGTTGTGGAGTTCAGAGCTGGTGGTACATTTAGAAGCAGTTGTGTTTGGGGAGCAGTTGACCTTTACCTGTGGAAAACCATCACTGACAGTGTAGTGACAGCAGCCATGGTGGTGTGGGTTACTCAGGGCAGATTTCAAACCCATAGCATTGATCCGGGAAATCCTAAGGGCTCCTTTGAAATTTCCTTGATGATATTTCTTTTTTGTCTAATGGCCGGGATTGTTCCCCACCACAAGACATTGTAGGGTGGGGATAGAACAGAGGAAATCTAGTGGGCCCTTGTTTTAGGCAAGCTGTGGGATTACAAAGAAAGGTGACTAAGAGAATAGGGCACCACTTTGATCTTGGAGTTATCGGTGGACTTGTGAGACTCAGGACCGTGGCACGCCTGGGTGAGTGGGTGGGATGAAGACAGGGCAGGGAGGACCGGAGAGTAGAGCCAGGTTAGAGTAGGGCAATGTCTGAGTTTGGTTCACTGCAATTTAGACAGCATTTTCTGAGCTCAGTCTCTGGGCTTGGTTCAGGGCAGGATCCAGAGGGATGGGAAGTGTAGCCTCTTGCTTCAAAATAGGGCAGGTAATTAGTCCTGCTCCACTCCTTTGGGGATCTGACTCCACCTCAGGGCTTGCACTGCCATCTCTGCTGTGATCATAAACAAATGCGGCTCAGACTTAAATTGCCCAGACTTAAATCCTCCTCCTGGGAGCTTGTAGGCATCTCTACCATCCCATCCAAAGGAGAATTGTGAAACCTCCTGCTCAAACCTTCTGTGCCCTGATGACTTCTGCATTATCAGTCCATGGCTCCTCCATCCTTCCAGTTGCTGAAACCACAAGAAGTTGAGGATATTATCACTTCTGTTCTCTCTTACCCCACAGCTGATCTGTCAGAATATTGGGTGCTTCTACCTTCAATATATGTGTGGAACCTATTGCCCATCGCACCCACGGCTCCCATCTTGGTCTCAACCTCTCTTATATCTCCCCTGTTGACTACAGTAGCCAACTTACTGGCGTCCTTAAGCCCCTGCAGCCCCTTCTGACATAGCAGGCAGAGTGAATCCTTGATGATGTAGATCAGATCACGTCTACCTCTCTGGTCAGGACCCTGGAACAACTTCCCATTTCACTGAAAAGAAAATGCCAAGTCCTAAAATGCCTAAAAGTATCCTCATGATCCAGGTCGGAGTCTCTTTTTGATATCACCCATCTCTCTCCCTCACTTTACCAAACACACTGGTCCCTCCCTGTTCCTTGAGCCAACTCCATCTTCCTTCTTGGGGAGCTTTTGAACTGGCTGCAGGTCTGGATTACAGGGTGTTTCCCTCAAGTGTCCATAGAGCCAACAATCTCTGCTAAGTCTTTGCCCAAATATCACCTTCTCAGTGATGCTTATCCTGGATGCCCAGGGAGTCCCTGGAACTCCTAATCTCCCTTGTTCCTTTCTCCTTATGTTTCTCCTTTCTGAAGGATGTACCACTTTTTCACATATCTGTGTAGATTCTCATTACTTATTAGCTATCTGCACTACAAACCACAAAGTCAAGGATCCGGATCTATTTTGTACATTACCTGGCACATAGAAGGTGCTCAATACATATTTTTAGAAGGAATGAATGGGTACAGTTGGGAAGACACACATGCACAGGCACACACATGGCAGGCTGGAGCAAGAGCTGTGGAAGAATCAGACTGCTAGAGAAATTCTGCAGTCGGAGCTGTGATGGAAAGGATTCCTGCTGCCTGATGTTTCAGACTCCAGCAGTGTAAATACCGGGAGGGACACTGGCCGCTTATCTGCAGCTCCCCTGTGCTGTCTTCAAGGCTCCTGGTGAAGACTCATTAACACTCTAGGAATGCTCAGTTGGGGCTATAGGAGGATCATTATTAGGCTGGAGTCAACCAGATGCATTACCGCGAGCAGATTGCCTCCCCTCTCTGTGCCTGTTTCCTCACTGGTAAGCTGCAACAAAGGAAATGAGTGATGGAGAAGGGTCTCTTGCTCTAGGGATCTGTGATTCCGGGGCGTGTGGCCCGGGAAGACAGGCAGTGTCTCTCAGAGCTCTTCTGAAGGTGTCTGGCCGCACGTCACTTCCCAGGGTCAAGTACGGGTTGGTAGTGAGGGTAGCGGTTGGAGGTGGGCTGTGCCGGTGACTGGTTCTCCACAATCGCAGGAAATCGGCCTTGCCTCCCTGGGTGCCCCTGACGAGTACATCGAGAAGCTGGCCACGGTGAGTCTTTCACTCCCTGGGGGCCGGGCAGCAGGAGACTGCGGCTGGTGGCTCTGAGGATCTCTTTCTTCGGAAGTTGGGACATTTAGGGGGAAAATCAGAATGTGCAGGTTACACTTGCACAAGTAAAATTTCCATTTTGATTTATCTTTAACGGGCTTATTTTTAAATCAGTTGCATGCAGATGTTTATGCACAATTTTAAACAGTGTTCTGGGAAATACCAGCAAGCTATAATAATAGCCCTTGAGATTCCTTGGGTATAAAGTTGAGATCTGGATTCACTGCTTTAAAGAGAGAATATTTTCAGTCCTACCTCTGCACTGGACTAGTATTAGAATCTTTCTTTCCTCTGGCTAGGTAGGAATCTCTGTTCCTTTTCCTTGGGCTTTTCATTCTTGCTGAATTCTTCCTCTCCCAAGTGGAAATAAGGACTGGAGTTACTGAAGCACCAACCTGCCTGGAAGGTGGTTTCCTCCCTTTGTGCTCTTTTCTGGCTTCAAGCACCTCTCCCCCGACGTGAGCCACATTTCTTATGAAGTGCCCAGTCTGGAAACTGGAAAAATAAAATTTATATTGGAGTTAAAGATTGCAAATAGATGTAAATCTACCATTAAGTTGAATCAACTTAGAAGATTTTATGAATTCAGCTCATCAGAAAGGATTAAAAACATCCAGTATTTCTCTCACCATCTGTTCTGAGCCCCTGGGCACATCAGTGTATATCTTGCTTATCTCAAAGGTGTGTCATGGGCATCTGAGGGGTCGAGCTTGTGTGAGCATGAATTTTAAAATTATCTGCTGCTGAGATCCGAGAAGCAGCCGTATAAATTTCTCAGTCAGAATCAAAAAATGAACTTGGAACCCAGTGCATGGTGTTATCTACCATAAGAATGATGACAGTCCTAGTGTCAGCCTAACTTCTCAAAAAAAGATCAGGTTATTGATACACTGGGCTAGGAGCAATCCAGCTTTTCTCTGCCCTTAATGAGCTTGTTGCCTCACCTGGGCTGAAAACCCCTCACCTGTATGTGAGGAGGTCAGGGCTCCTAAGCTTTCCTATCCTCCCTGGGTTTAACGTTCTCTAGTCCCACAAACCAGCTCATCTGGTAACCGAATACTAATTCGCCAAGAGCTGTGCCTGATGGGATCACCTGATAATCCCTACCAATTTTAAGAGCATTTTAGGAACATATCACTCTAGTATATGCTACAGAGTAAGAAGCAAAAGGAATGGGGTTCCATAAGAGAGGGAGTGGAACTTGTTGGGATATGTTTGGGGGGCTTCCAAGTGCCTTCCAGAGCTTCCCATCATACCTTGGGTTCAGCCAACTCTTTGTTCGACAGGAGATGGGATAGGGTGAGACACAGGACCGGAGAAGTGATAACACTGGTTTAGAGAACAGGCCCACCTGGGTAGCCCTGTCCTTGGTCCTAGGCTGTCTCTGCCTTCCCCTTCCACGAGTTTGTGCTCAGCCTGACTTTCCATCCTAGATCTACTGGTTTACTGTGGAGTTTGGACTCTGCAAACAAGGAGACTCCATTAAGGCCTACGGAGCTGGGCTCCTGTCATCCTTCGGTGAATTACAGGTATGACCCTAACAGGGACCAAGGATGGGCTTGAGAGTGTTGGATAAGGCAGACCATTCTCCTTCTCTTGGGACCACTGAAGCCCCGTTTACATCCATTTGAGATGCAGTTCAGGGGTCACTCTTTAAGCTATGGCTTGGCAGAACTTCCACTGCAAGAGGTCTTCATGGAAGAGGGCCTCCTGACCCCGAGCTTGACCCGAGCACACAGCCTTGCTTGACAGTGGCTCCTGCAATGTCCACCGATCACCTTACTTGAAAGTGGTTAGAATGCGTTTATCACTTTCTATCCTGGGTGTAGGTTTCAGATGAGCTGTGTAGGGTTGGATCCAGGATACACCCCTTAGCTCATTGCATTTGGGCTGGTTGTAGAAGGAATCGGAGTGAGGATAGGATGCTGCAGGGGCCCCTGGTCTGGATTTAGCTGAGAGCTTTTCCCTGGGTGCCTGCAGTACTGCTTATCCGACAAGCCGAAGCTCCTGCCCCTGGAGTTGGAGAAGACAGCGGTCCAGCCGTACACCGTCACCGAGTTCCAGCCCCTCTACTACGTGGCTGAGAGTTTCAGTGATGCCAAGGAGAAAGTGAGGTGAGGAGCACCCCGGGGGGCCCTTAGCTTCCCAGGTCCCCCGACTCAGGATGCAGGTGATGTCTGGGGTGCTTGGCCAGGACACTAGACACTGGACCCCCAGGTCCTCCACGGCTTTGTGCCGCAGATGGAGTTCGTTCCCCACCGGCGGCGCCTGCGCCCTTCCCCCGCTCCGTCGGGAGGGTGGACTTGCCAACTGCAGACAGCCCCGCCACCTGATCTTTTGCAATGTGGACACCACCTCAGTCCTGCACCCCCGGGGCACGAGTGGTCCCCAGAGTCCCCCACCAGATCAGTCAGAGACGTTGCCTAACCTCGAAAGTGCCTTCTTCACTTTATTCTCCTGGACACCTCCAGACCTGGCTTTCTCTCCTCCTTTCCGTCTTCAACCAGAAGCTCTCCTTGTCCTTCTCCAGCCAACTTACTGTCATGCCCCCAGGGATGTGTCTGAGAATCAGAGCAGGAGGTGGCCCAGTGTGACATGAACTCCATAGCATACACATCCACAGGCCCAGGTGACACAGCTTAGGGCATGCTGGGGATACACTGCACACAGCAGTGCGGACCATTGCTCCGATGGCCCCAGAAACAGCAACATGAGTCCGTCAAGCACCCCTATCTCTAACAGTGCTTGCTACCCCTTCTGGGATAAGGACAGCCATCACTGCATCTTAACAGAGGCATAAAGAAAAGGGAGGTGCAGACGGGGCACTGTTGCCCAGGGTCACAGGGCCATGACTGGCAGAGGCAGGATTTGAGCTCAAGCAGCCTGACTCAGACACTCGGGCACCACCACTGCTCGGGAGGCCTCACTGTATCCCTTACAACTGTCTTCAGTTCAGCAGCTCCCACTTTCACCATGGGCCGACTTAAAAATAATACTCCTGATGTGTTTGGAATTTCTTGTCAAGTATATTGCTGATGTCCCTCACAAAGGTGCTCCTGTAGGATTCCTCCCTAAGCCAGGAATAATTCCCAGGAAGGCACAAAAGCAAGGAATGCCAGCCAGAATAGCATGGGTTCCTTCCCAGCTGTGCAGCTTACTGACAACAGTGGCCTTAGGAGTCAGCTTCCCAAGCCTCAGTTTCCTTATCTGAAAAATGGGAAGGTAATGGTACTTCTTGAGGTTTTTGTGAAGCTTAAATTAGGAATGATATTTACAAAGGAGTTTAGAGAAGTTGAGATTTAATATGGTTCTTGGGATGTAGAAGATTGAGCTTTTTGGTTTATTGGTTCTTTTTTTAGGGGGTGTGAGGCTGGGATTGACCTTCATATAGACCTACATCCACTTTTTGTGCCAGGATCTCAGTAAATTGCCCCAGCTGGCCTTAAACCAGCTTTCTCCTGCCTCTGCCTCCTGAGTCACTGGGATTACTCAGTCCCAGTTAAATGTCATTGCTAAATGTCATTGTTAGCATAGTGTTTTATTCAGCTCTTGAGAGTTGTATTTCCTTCTTTACAACATTTATCCAATATCTCAGAGCTTTCTATTTTTCTCTCTCCATAGCGTTCTTTGGCTAGGTTTTCTTTACTCTCTTTATCTTATTTAATAATAAGAGCTCATGGCTTTATTGTACTCTGTGTCTTTATTATAAGCTGGTTCTGTCTTTTGGGTATGAGGTGACTAAGTTTGTGTGTATGTGTATACGTGTGTATGTGTGTATGTGTGTATGTGTACACACACAGGCACACACGAAGCCTTCCCAAGAGACCCTCGTAAAACTCCACTTCCCCTCTCAGCCCTGGCTCTGGCAGCCTGGGCTCCGGTGAGCTCTCAGTGTTAATCAGGAAGGGCAACGGCCCCGAGAATGCTTAAAATGACTTCCATCCCGACGGCACCCTTCGCTCAGGCGTGTGGTTTTGCCCTCAGGAGCTTCGCTGCCACCATCCCTCGGCCCTTCTCAGTTCATTACAACCCTTACACCCAGAGGATCGAGGTCTTGGACAACACCCAGCAGCTGAAGATTTTGGCCGACTCCATCAACAGTGAGTGGATACACCCTGCAGGGCCATGCTCTCCTCCCGGCAGACTGGAGCAGAGTCATGTTGGGTTCACTGTCAAATCCCCGGATCTATTCCTAAAAATTATATTGAGTGCACAAGAGCCGTTGTTTGAAGAGACGAAATACAGTGTGTGGGGGCGCTGTAAGGGGAGAGTTGCAGGCCAGGTAGGAGTCCCCGCCTTGTGTAGCGCCAGCAGAGTCCAAAAGGGCAGATGGGCTTGAAGTTTCCCTCTGACATTGCCCGTGTACCTCTGATGCACAGGCCTGGCCCTGGTCGCCACAAGCCTTGCACCTTAGGTCTAGCTACCCGTGATCAACCACTTTGAAAAAGCCCAAGGCTGATGCCTCCCCACACCAGACTCACTCTGGCTTAGAAACCCGTTTGGAGTGATGCTTTCACTGAAGAAGCCAGCCGGGCGCTCTAGAGGCTGGTGTGTAAGACAGAGAGGTGAGGCCACGGCTGCTTCTGCACTCGTCTCATTTCCTGTGAAAAGGCAGGAGCAGCTCCATCGGCTAGTGTTTATAAGGAAGTTTCTGTGAGCACGGAGTACCACATTAGGAACTGAAGGGGTCCTAGAGCTATGTGACGTCATGTAAATCCTCATCGCTCCTCTGTACTTTCATGTCTTCAAGACTGAGTGGGGAGTGAGGCTGCCAGTCTCCAAGGTCTCTAGTGCTGCTGTGAAGAGTCTATATCCCTGGGGACCTTGGCATAAATGGAATAGATTGCATGGTACTTCTGTCCAGGGATCTAACAATCTAGGCTGAGTTCTCTACTTAGACTACGCTTCCTCAGAATTTAGTGTGTGTCAGAATCACATGGAGAGCTGGCTAAAACTTAGTAGCCCTGAGTTATAGGCCCAGAATAAATTTACTAAGTTTGTGCTAAGTCTCGGGAATTTGTACTGGTAAGACATCAGGTGGCTCTGAGGAAGGGGACATGTATAATCACACTTCCAGGTGTAGGGACTTAGCTCCTTGAAGCATCTATGGCTGTCATGTAAAAAGGAGACAGAGCGCTCATGATTTGCCTAGAAAGAAACCTAAGTCCTTCCTGAGAATAGCCAGTGCAGAGAGGAAGCAGATTCCATACAGCAATGGCCCAAGCACTTCCTAAAGCATACCACACCTTCCCCAGTCCTGTCCCCACCACATAGCTGTAGGCCACAGGAAGTATGGAAGCACATGTGGCCCACCTGCTACCCCTCGGGTCCCTGAGGACTTCAGCCGTGGTGGACACTGGAGGGCTGTTTGGTCCTTGAGTGAGTGGCCCCTCTGAGTGGTGCTCTTCTTTGTAGGTGAAGTTGGAATCCTTTGCAGTGCTCTGCAAAAAATAAAGTGACGCTATGGACAGGACACCCGTCAGCTGAGAGTCTGCTGATGGAAATCCAGCTACGTCTGTCATCCAGAAACTCTGAAGAGAAAACCTTAATTTGAAATAACAGCTTTAAGTCTCTTTGGGAACAAAATGGAGGCTTAACAAATAAGGAAACTAATCTGAAATAATAGTACATTAACACCTCTTTCAAAAATAATGATGGATCTTTTAGAGCCCTCTTTGATTTAGACGTGATAATCTCATGCCTTCCCATTGGTTGCCGTGGCAGTCTGCTGCATTTCATCAAGATTAAGTAAAATTTGGGAACTTCTACGTTCAGGTTTCCTTTGTTAATTGCCATCGTGAACTCCTAAAGGAGGACACACAGCTAAATGTGAAATGTAAAACTTTCATTGGAATTGAATTATTTTGTTTAATATAAATCTTAATCTACAAAGTTCATTTTCTATTTTCATTAACTCTATTCCAATTATGGCTTTGTTATCATGCTTACATAAATTTTCTTTAATTTGAGAACTCATTAAAATAGTTATGAGCATTAAAGTTTTATAGCATTACACAATACATTTTTGTATGTTTAATTATAATAATAAGTACTGCTGTGTAAGGCATTAGGACTTCTCACTTGATCCCCACAATTTTCAGTGTCATTTGCCAATTATTTGTGAAGTCTTCTTGGGAACTATAGACATAATTGGTGGATATTCAGTAGATAGTATTGAATGAATAAGTGAATGCATTATTAAATAGCAAATCCATTAGATGAATGAGAATTTTATGTGCTAGGGAAAAAAAAAACATTAGTAGTCACAAAATTTTAGAGTTTCCAATGCTTATTGGGATGAAATAATTCTCTCTTTGCTTTAGAAATGCATTAGCTGGGAAGTCTTGTGACAGAAGAAATAAAATAAGGTTTAGTGTCCCCGAGGGACCCACCGTGATGGTCAAAATCACACATAGTTGGCTTTTGCTGATTGTGTAATTTACACAAAAACATAAATACTTGAGGTGCAGTGGGAGAGAATATCAATGTCTTCAAAGCTATGATTTGAAATTCTTATGCTACTTTACATCTTCTTTTGTAAATAGCTAAGTCTTAAGAGATTCACGTGGTATTTCTTCAACTGTAGTTCTGCAGGGGCATCATGTGTAGTAAATCGAGGCACTACCCCAGCTCTGTTTATTAAGGTTCTTTAGTTCTGGGGTTCAGACACCTGCATCTTTAAGTACACCAGATTATTTTAGTTTTAAAATTCACAGCCAAATTTACCAAGGACATTAAGAAAACGTGACTTTGATGATCAGTCTGCCACTTGCCAATGAAGTCACCTTGGATGAGACACTTCCTTTCGTTGGATCTTGGCTTCATTCTAATAATGAGAGAATTAAACTATATAAAGCAAGGTCCTTATTGGCCTTAAAGTATGTCTAAGATGCTTGAACACCTTTAAATAGCTGTCACTGATTGGTTACTAGAGGGGAAAACACCTGCATAAGTATGCTGGCTGGAAGGAAGGAATAATAATTTAACCTAAACATGTCTGAGGTTTCCTTGTTTTGAAGTTGGGATTTTCATATCCTTGCCTATTTTCTAGTGCCTTTACAGAACCCAGTGATTTTACAGGCAGACGCAGACCCCTTCCTGTAGCATTCCTGTAGATATAGAGCACTCTACCAAGAGACTCACTCAGTCCACCTTTAGTTCATGTTAGAAGTTAATTGTTGACGCTGGAACTTAAGTATTAGAAAGTATTTTAGATGGAACTTTCAGTAGTGAATTTTTAGTCCCCCAGTGAAGATGTTTTAATGATTTTTGAAGTTGAAGTTTAGGGTGGAGTAATTTTCATAGAAAGTAATTTTCATTCATACCGAGTGGAAGATAAAGTTTGAACAGAAGGAGTAAATCTGAAGATTTATTGTGCAGCATAATGACTGTAAATAACAATGCATTGTATACTTGAAAATTGCTAAAAAGATTTTAATCATCACCACAAAAAGGGATAAACATGAGGCGATTGATATGTTGATTAGCTTGATTTAATTATTTCACAAAGTATGCATATATCAAACTCTTCCACACTGTACACCACAAATGTATGAAGATTTTCTTTGTCAATTAAAATTTCAAAAATGTGCTTTTCTGAGAAATGAATTTTTTAAGTGTCCAAGAAGAGAAACTATTAAGGAGTACATCATCTGTTTATTTTCCAGTTTGGCTGTGTGAATAAAAGGCAGCAACATTTACCTTGAATTGCAATCTTTATTTTTCCTTAGCTCGCTTCTAGGAAGCATGTGATGTCCAGAGAAAGGGAGTGATCCTTCACTGAGGGGATTAAAATTGGTATGGTCTTTGGATGCCTATGCTTTATTCTTCCCAGAAGAAATAAATTAAGGACTATTTAATAAAGAAGAAATAGACTTAGTCCTTTCTGAGGTCACTTTATTTCTATCTCAATAAAATGTTTCCTGGAGCCTGTGCTTTTCTTCAATTACTTTGCAAATGGAGAGGATGGTGTCAGGTCTGAGCTCGGATTTAGAAAGGAAGAATCATAAATGCATTTTCCTTTGTGTCTTTGAGTTTCCCCTCTTGCCCCTCTTTTCCAAGACGTGGCTATTAGGTTTCTTTGAGAAAAATTCTTCCTATCACTGCGACCTTCATTTCCTTAACCCCTCAGGAGTCACAAGTGCGGAAATTGGAGCTTGGACTAAAATTTGGCCAAAATTAAAAGACTGATGCTGTCAAGTAGATGGGAGTATACAAGAGGAGGCTAAGTTGCAGGCTCCATCAGCAGAGGCACGGACCTGCTGGCCCTTTCCTTAAGCTCCGGTCCTCTGAGTACTGCGGAGAACACATGTTACATCGGTTCCTGAGTGTCTCCAGACAGCAGCATCTCCAGTGGCAGAAAACTTTCCTGGAGCCACCGCCGTGTTACAAAGGGTAGTTGCTGGCCTAAGAAGACCTCTGAGCTAGAGCGGCACTTAGACAGCACGCTCCTCTCGGCTGCCAGCTCTGAATCGCTTGCATTGGAAGAACTCCACTTTCTAACAAAATAAATCAAATTTCAGAAGGAAGGACTGAGCAGAACCTTTCCCAAGTTTTCCATTCCCAGGAAAGTCCTTGGGAAAGCTAATGAGGCAGGAGGTGCTGTGCAAAGTCATTCTTGAAGGAAAATAAATAAATAAATCAACCGATCTTTCAGTAAGAGCAGACTGAAATTTAAAATAGAAGGTTTGTGACTGCAAAGTGTCTCCCAAAACAAGGCGCTTGAGGCCGAGCGAATGGAAAGACAGTCAAACTGCCTATCAGAGGGAGATGGTCAGCACCGCTGACAACGCCCTCGCCTGGCCCACGGTGTCGGGGGGGGGGGCAAGCTCTAAACCATATTTACCCCCTTTCTTTTGCAGTGCTGGGGATAGAAATCAGGGTCTCGCACGTGCACAGCAAATGCTGTGGCACTAATCAATATCTCAGTACCTCCAACCTGTCTTTTTAGGCAGCAAGAGTCTGCAGTAGAAACCTGTACAGAGTTAGTACAACCCAGAAACAAGACTAGCAGTATGGCCTTGCCTACCGCAGACTTTATATTTTGGCTGAATAAAGAACAGACAGAATAGGAAAGTGTGACATTTATCTCCGTGATGACATTGTCTGATGTCTTGTGAGGTGGAAACCAGGTGCCACAGCATTATTTTTAGCTGTACATCCCACGTACGTTAAAAGATGTAGCCTCTTTCAGTAGGCTGCCCTGGAGACCCCAGCTTAGATGCCAGTTCCCCACCAAGCTGAACCAACGTGCACAGATCCTGAATCTCCCTGAGCCTCAACGTCCTCGTTTGTTAGAGGAGGAAGATGCCTACTTCACGACAGTGTCAGCGATCAAATAATATTGTGTGTGCAGTAATATGCAACACTGTCAAACGTTTATTATTCTGATATAGCACAAATAGCTCCCACAGTAGTTGGCAAGTATTTTGCTGGTTCTCTTGGACCAGCAGTATGATCCCAACTGCTCCCTCTTTCCAAAGAGATAAGCGGTGTGAAGAAATCTTACTTAAAGCCTCTCTGGCTGTAGGAAAATTGAGAAAAACGTTCTCTTCCTTTTTCTAAAGTTCTTTTTAAAGCACTTTAAGAAGGCTGTTAGTTGACTAAAGCAGAATGTAAGCCTTTCGGTGCAGGTTGTATATACTAATGTATGTGGTACACATTATATATAGTACATATATATGGGCTTGTTTATAATGTATATACATGAAATCTGCATCAACTTGAAGCTAAAACTGCATTTTAAAAAGGTAACTTTGAAGACTGAAATTTAAAGTCCCATTTGAAGGTGCAATACACTTTCCCTTACCTCCTCCCCCTTTATTTCTGACCTTTCCACATCATTTTGCATTTTGTGTTTCCTCCTGGAGCTTTAGCATTGTCCTCCCTGTTCTAGATTATAGTCTCCGAAAAACCGTAGCTCAGTGTACTGCAACAAACACTGCTTTCAGCTGAGAATGCTCCATGTAGGTTTCATGAAATGGCTGAAATAAACAAAGTTAATTTCACAAATGAGTAATTCTTCATGCTCCTTTACTGAGGAATCAATGCCAGGAAACACGGCTTCACTTTGCTTCTCAATTTTTGGGTTGCCTTGGAGAGTGAAGACTGAAACAGCCCTTTTCTTTCCAGGGTGCAGGACGTGGAAATTAATTTTCTTAATAAAAGTGGCTGGCAGTAGGGTCAAGCCGTTTTGCCTTCCGTGCCCTGTCTGTAGAAGAAGCTAAGGTAGGAGGCAGAATGGACGAAGCAAGTTTTGTAAAAGAGAATAGGACAAGTCAGGCCGTGGATGAGGCAGGGTTGATGGGAATGCAACTCATCCCCCGTGGTGGGTTTCCTGCTTATTCAAGGGTGGGAGAGCCACCGTCTCCAGAACCTGCCCTGAGGTGTGCAGGGCGAAGAAGATGAAGTTCACCAGTAGGTATAGTGCTGACTGCATCTTCTGGGTTTAATTCTACAAGCATTTATTTGACCACTTACTTCGTGCTCACCACAAAACCAGGTCCGTTGAAAGTGACGACTACAGGAGCGCGCCCATCACTGTCCACCACGCAGGGCTGATTTTACAGGTCTGTCTTTCGGTCCGTGCGGCACCCACATCTGTGACCTCCAGTTCCCTTCCCTGCCCAGGAGCACTCCAACCCCAAAGGGTGCCTTCCACACACCAGTCCAGGGTCAGAATCAGCTCAGATGCACCCACAGGCACACTCACTGTTCCAAAAATCCAGTTTCCATTTGGTGAGCTCCAAGCCCCACCCTCTCCACACATAGACCAGAGCAGTGAGTTTGATCCAGTCCCAAGTAGGTCCTCCCTGGAACGCCCGAGAGCAGCCTGGCTGCCTGGGGATCGGCAACAGGGCTGGAATGAACGCCTTCACCTTGGTACCGCTCACTTTGTGCTATGGGGGGCAGGGAAGGGTGCTGGGTGGGTAATAAATGGCAGGGGGAGGGACAAGAAGGAAGACATTTTAATTTAAGTCTTTTAATTTCTCAAAAGAGGGTGGCAGTGAGTGGGAACATGAAGGGGAGGCGGCGCTCAGACCTCGCCTACACGAGGGTTGAGGAAACCATCCCTGGCTTTGCGCCCTCCCAGCTGTTTAGCAGAAGTGCTCGCGTTGCCCTGAGTCTGAAGTACCGGGGGCGACGCCGGCCAGTACCGCGGACAGCTCCCGCCCCGCGGGCCTTGACTGTCGCTGCTGGGGGCAGTCCTTCAGGGAGGATCCAGAGTGTGGTGCTGACCAGTTGGGCGCGTCCTCCCTACCACCCCTAGGTATGTACGGGGCTGTGGAGTCCAGCCTCGAACCAAGTCAGAGCTCTAGAGCTGAGAAAATAGTTCTCCAGGAGGACCAAGCTTTACAGTTCTCTGGAAGCTGGGCTCACTGGCCAGAGAGCCAGCACCTTGGAAATGCCAACAGGAGGAGGTGGCTGTGGCCCCAGGGACGGCAGGAGTCCGGTGCCTTTGCTTTCTTTTAGGGGTGGGGTGGGGAGACTTGCTGAGGGTAGACCGATCCATTGAGGGACAGAGTGCTGACCTCGGAGTCAGGCTTCACTTCCAGAAGAGAGCCAGGGGACAGAGACATGTCGGAGGGCTCTGCTCAGTGCAGCTGAAGTTTTCAGGCATAATAAACACAGTCCCTCAGCTTTCTCCTCCCCAGCCGGCTCCTCGCCCTTCCTCATTCAGCTCCTTGTGGGGCAGAGGCTTTCTAGATGTGGAGTCCTCGGTCATGGTCCTTCTCAACCGCAGGGAGGTCTCTATGCTCTTCACCTTCTCGCTTTCAAACCTGCCAGTCTCCATCCACGTGGAAGGAGCTGAGAGAAAGGCTGGGCACCGGTCCCGGATGGGGTGGAGGTGGTAGGCTCTGCCCCCCTTTTGGGAGGTGAGGAGGGAGATCCTTTTGCTTCGCTTTGGTCGTTTCTACTGTCTTCCATTCAAAGTGTGGGGGCAGAGCCCCAGAAGCTCCCTGTTTCTCCGGGACTGTAGAAGCTTCCTAACTGAGCAGGGAACGTGAAGTCGGAGCTTTCCTTCTGTGTGGGCAGGGGGTGGCAGCATATTGCAAGCCATCTGAGCAATGGCTTTCAGGTGTCCGGACTCTGGGAACCCAGGATAGGTTCAGAACTGGTCCTGGCCATGGTCAGGGTGGCAGGCTGGACCTAGGAGAGGTAGACGCAGGAAGAAGGGGGAGAGTGCCTCTTGAATTTTTTCTTGGTTGTATGTTATTGTGGCAATGTTCTTAAGACATCAAAATCCCAAACACTGGTATTCACGTGGGTGTCTGAACTAGAATCAAAAGCAGGAACTATTTGCAGAAGGGGGTCTGGGAATCTGAGAAAGAAATACTTAGCTGTTTCACTGCTCAGCACAGGAGGGAAAATCCCAGCCACCTGACCTCTTCGGGTAAGTGCTAGCTGCTCTAACATGATTCCGACTGCTGAGCGTAAAAGACACTGCCCTGTGATCATGGAGCAGTTCTTGTGTTAGCAAATATTTTTTAGTACATTCAAGTTTTTCTTAATATGACAAAAATAATTTTAAAACTTCCTGTGCTTTATCCACTGTCAATACTGTCAGTATATTTTTGATGCAACATATTTGCCAAAAATCTCTCAGCTTTATTTTCCATTCCATTTTAGATAACTACAATATTTACAAGCTGTTTAGAATTCTCTCTCTCTCATACACACACACA